AGAGCAATATCGCCCGCAAACTCCAGGTTCGTCAGTCTGCCGACTAGCAGAACTTCCACTCCGGTAGACTCTGAAAGAACCGAGTCATTCATCATCATTTCGATAACAAAGTTGAAGAGGAAAGGACATACAACCTCGACGAACTCTTGTCGTGGGGAACTCGGGTGAGTTTCACATGGACACTTACACGACCTCGGGAGTCACGGTGGAGAGGCTGCTTAATGGAAAGAAATTTAGCTTGTATGCTTTTCATGAATAAACAGTGCCACAAAATGGCGCGGTCAAGAGAGTCAAAGGCGTCTTTCAAGTTAAGAAAAATCACCATAGTTGGTCGTCTGTATGTGTGGTCCCTGCTCTAAAACTTGGCGAAGAGTAAATGTGATCGATACAAACACGCACAGGGTGGAAGCCAGCCTGGATTTCAGTAATTCGGTTATCACGGTGACCAGCAAGTCGTCGGAGAATGATGTTCGTCAGAAGTTTGGATACAACGGAAACAAGGTTAATGCCTCGATGATTTTCGCACACTTCACACTGACATGACAATTGACAATCGCCAGTCCGAAGGTACCTCTCCAGTGTTCCAAGTCGTGTTAAATAGAGAAACAAGTACAGTCAAAAAAGAGTCACCTCCATCTTTCAGTAGAGATGAACTGGCTTGCCGAACAACCTCCTCGTGGTGTCAGCTGGGTGGTTCAAGAGTATCCCGTTCCAACGAATGGTTCGGCGGCAGTGTTCCAGGACGTGGTGAGCTTTCGCCTGGCAAGCGCTCTCCCTAAAAAAGCCACATATGTCCGTCTAACAACACGGTGACGTGGCGAATGTGACTCGCCACTAAATAAAGTCATTGCCCCTTGCCTCTCTGAGCGGCATTGTAATTCAAGGGTATGTTGGGCCCCTGGTCCTACGTGAGCGCCCGTGGGATTGAAGATGAAATCACGAATCATATAGCAAAAGCTCGGGGCGCTTTCGCTAACATTCGCCACTTATGGCGCCGGCGCGACATCACTCTCTCTCTGAAGGGTAGAGTGTACAATGTAGCAGTACGTTCGACCTTACTGTACGGTTGTGAAACCTGGCCGCTTAAAGCAGCGGACCTGAAGAGGCTAGTTACGTTCGACCACCGGTGCCTTCGTAATTTAGCTCACATTTGGTGGGAACAGCGCGTGAGCAACGAGCGTGTTCGACGCCTTGTTTATGGCACAGGAAAAGGAACTGAACCGCTCAGCACCGTTATTTCACGCATCAGGCTCCGATGGCTCGGCCACGTGTTACGCATGTCAGCCCACCGACTTCCGCGACGTGTGTTGTTTGCGCGCCGGGGGTGTGGATGGAAGAAGAGGAGGGGTGGCCAAGCAATGACTTGGTCCAGAGGAATGAAGGCCCTCACTTTTGAGCTGGCCTCAGTTGGAGCGTCTCGGCTCCCTGGTTGGGGTCCGAAAGACGATGAACACGTTTGGTTGGACACACTTGCTGATATGGCAAGGAGCCGATCTCAGTGGCGTTCGTGCTGTGAGTTTCTTTGTTCCACCCCATCCCTCTTAGCCTCCCCCTCCAACCACGATCTCATTATGTAGCCTTATATAATTTTGCATAATATTTTTTTGGGTGCACAGCAGCCGGCTGGTAGCTTACCGGAACGATGCCCATCCGTTACCGGTAGCTCAGCCAGCTTGCACCAGTTGCAACTTTTTTTCTCTCCTTTTTTCTGTATTGCGGCACAGTAGCTGAGGTGTTCTCCACCTCTAGCTAACGTGTATGATGATGATGATGGTCCTACGTGGCCCTAAGGGTGTATGGACCACTTGTTTGGTCACCGGCTCCCAACGGGTTGCGATACCCTCACATTGCTCTGCTGCCTTGTAGGTTAGATCCTGGATCAAAAGCTAGAGGTGGGGTCCCCTAAAACAACCCTCTACTTCGACCTGAGCAACAGGGTAGTATCTCTCCCACTGAGGAACCATGGATTGACTACACTACTGCTTTCCCTCTTGCCATATCTACTAGCTTTACTGTCTCTGCTGCTCAACCTCCGCTCACAGATCGTCCCAGCTCCCGTTCTTCAACTACACCTATGTCCCCGGTCACCGTCAACAACAGCTCACTGGCCGCATCTGACAGAGTTCTAATCCGAAGGTTTGGTGTTCGTTGCCCGGTGGTCACAACATCTGCACACTCAACCGAAGCCCAAGCTTTCATTCGTCCTGGTTCTCCATTCGGCCTTGCAGCGTTCAATGTACGCACTTTGATGCAGATCGGACGACAAGCATGTCTGGCCCGCACGCTTAACTCTCGGTGGACATCTGTTGCCTTTCCGAAACCAGGTTGCAAGACGGCAGTACCGTTAGTAGAATGACATCTCCAGTAAACACTGACGTCAAATACCACTTGCGCCTTTCCGGAGACCCAGAGGCGGCCATTTCTGGCCAAGCTGGTGTCGGGGTTGCACTGAGTGACATGGTTGAGGTCGCTTTGCTTGACTGGATCCCAGTCAACAGTCGGCTATGTGCAGTCAGACTGAGGTTTATGTAAGTTAAGTAAGCGTCGAGATGTTACGCGTTCCTTGTTTGTCACCTCCGCCTACGCACCTACAGACTGCAGCCCGGATGCAGTCAAGGATTGCTAGTATCAACAGCTACATGAGATTCTGCGTTCCGTCAAGAAGTCTGACGTTGTCGTTCTTGCCGGAGATTTTAACTCACGAGTGGGCCGCCTGCCACCAAGCGAGCAGCATCTTGAGGGTAGTTTTGGCCTCGGTAGCAGCCGAGCAGACAATGAAGACAGATTACTGACTTTGTTCTGATCATCGCTTGTTTCTTTCGAGTACTAGTTTTCGTCATTCGAAAAGACAGACTGTTACCTGGCGTTCGCGTTCTTAAACACAAGAATGGTCCCAGCTTGACTACATAGCAATAAGCTACAGATGGCGCGGAAGCGTAACAGACTGCCGATCGTACTGGTTAACTGGTCTGGACTTTGATCAGGCACTGATTCGCAACAAAATATGCAAGCATTTCGGAGGACCATTCAGACGTACGCATTACCGACCGAATGTCGAAAATATGCAGAATCCTGTGACGTTAGCCAAGTACCGGGTTTCTCTGTCAACAATACCTGCTTCATCCTCTGACGATAGTCTCAATTCGCAATGGATGCGCATCAAAGACGCTTTAGTTTCTGCCAGTACTGTCAGTTGTGGACTTGCTTGTCACCCGCCGAAAAGCTGGATTACCACTGCCTCCTTGTCGCTGGTGGACAGACGACGCTTGATCCCAGTCGACACCGGCTGTAGTGAGAAACGCCGATCCTTGGATCGAGCGTTGCGCAGGAGCTTACTGAAGGATAGTGAGACCTGGTGGTGTGAACAGGCTAGAGAGCTTGAGCTTGCTAATCCTTCTGGTAATACCAGAAAACTGTTCCACCTCTTCCGAAGGCTTCCGATCAGGAATAAGCGAAAAATCTGCAAAGATAATCGCTCCCTAATCACTAATCTTCAACGACGGTTAGAGCGATGGGCCGAACATTTTCGCTCGCGGTTTTCCTGACCACCAGCTCTATGTTCCCCCTGGGGAGCGCAATGGTGATGAGCGGACTATTCCAACTGATCCTCCCTCTCACCAGGAAATCTGGCGGGAACGCAGCTGTCTAAAGCGTTATAAGTCACCCGGCCCTGATGGTCTACCTCCTGCTCCATTTAAAAATAAGGGCTTTTCGCTGGTTCGAGAACTCACCGCTTTGTTCTCAGAAGTCTGGGCAAAAGAGGAGGTTCCATCGTCCTGGAGTGAGTCGGTAGTCGTCCCCATCTTCAAAAAGAGCCTGTGCACAAATTGCTCCAATTACAGGGGCATAAGTTTGGTTCCCGTCGTTTGCAAGATTTTGGTGTCCATCATGCTTCTCAGGCTATCCCCAACGCGTAAATCGCTACAGCGAGAAAAACAGGCAGGGTTCCGCCTTGGTCGCCGATGCATCGATCAGATTTTCACACTCCGCCATGCGTATCAAAAGCCAACGATTGTTGTGTTCCTGGAAATCGCTGCTGCCTTCGATTCTGTCGACAGGGCTGCATTGTGACACTGTCTGTTGAGGAATGGTGTTCCCGGGAAGTTCGTTTCCATTTTGAGTGCTCTGTATAGTCTGACCTCGGGTAGAGTTAGGGCTTATGGCAAGCTTTCGTCTTCCTTTGTTGTCACTAGTGGGGTTCGACAAGGATGTCCTGTCTCTCTATTCCTCTTCGATTTTGCCATTGAGGATGTCCTCAAAAATGCTCTAGAAGACTTGTTGAACGCTGGCGTTGAGCTCCTCCCAGGTAGTCGGGTGGTTGATTTGGATTACCCTAATGATATCGTCTTGTTGGGTGACGATCCGCAGGCCGCTCAAGTTGCACTTAACCGCCTGGCGATTGAAGCGTCGTCGTATGGCATGCACTTTTCACCATCCAAGTGCAAAGCGCTTTTTCAAGACTGGTATATACTCCTACCTGCACTCACCATCGATGGGGAGACGTTAGAAGTAGTGTAGAGTTTTGTCTACCTGGGAAGCTGCATAACTGCTGATGGGGCTGTTGGAAACGAGATTTCGATGCGTATATCAAGAGCTCGTCTCGCCTCTAGGCTGAGGCATTTATGGTGCCGCCATGACATCCGTCTCTCCATCAAAGGACGGGTTTATGGTGTCACTGTCCGCGTTGTATTGTTGTACGGTTGCGAGACCTGGCCTGTTTGTACCGATGACCTACGTCGACTATCTGGCTTCGAGAACCGTTGCTTGCGGTCCATCGCCCGTGTGGTGGCTGAACCATGTAACCAACGCTGAAGTCAGACAGCTCTGTTAGATTAACAATATTTTATATCATCTGACCTCGATTTCGTCAAAGGTTCTAAACGATGGAAACCTGTGAACATGAAAGTGGACGGTGTTGCACGTCATTTGCAAAAGACAACAACTGTGTTCACTAAGGGTAGGGATCAAAGAACCAAGGGATCTAAGGAATGTGGAAGTACCTCATAGTCACACCAAAGCAATAGGGATTTCCAGGCGGAATGGTTTGAAAAGTTGAGGGTAACTGAAACATCATCAGCCAATGATCGCACGGAAAGGTCCAAGCTCATGGCAGAGGGTGTATTATGAGCCCGGTTCGGGATTTTGAGTTCTTCCGTGTCCAGCGCGCAAAGTACGTCGTAGTGGACTTGTGAGACTGTAAGGCAAAACATTTATGCCGTAAGCGGCTAGATGTCATTAAGACAACCAAACAGTAAGTAGTTGAACCGAAAACGCTAAGCACGGAAGAGAACAAGATCGACGAAACCGGAGACAAAACAAGAAAGAGTAAGCAACTGCACTCTAAATGAGTATTATCAATCTCACCTTTTGCCAAATCATCACGAGAAGGCCCTGTAAACTGCAATCGGGAATATCAGACAGTGGATAAGCCAGTTCAAGTTCAAGCGAGGGTGGAACGATATGAAAATTCCGTGCGCGCTCCTTCTTGACTGGATTACTGGAACTAAGACGAAACACACTGGCCAAGGAACTACCGACCGTGTATTTCTACCAGCAGTTTGTGCTAGGCCGGTTAGGTGAAGTGAGAATGAGCAAAATCAGGTGACAAGGAATAAGGTTATACAGCTAAGGACAATACCAATAAAAGAGGGAAACTACGAAAGATAAAACTGAAGCTGAGCACAGGAGTTGGTCAGAAGGGAAGGGTTTGCTGCTGCTAACCAATAGCTTCTAGTTGAAAAAATGTTTCCACCGTAGAGTGCTTGGATGCGAGTTTCAACATTCGTTGATTCCGTCATAATCCTGCCAGAATGAGGTTTGTGCAGCTTCACGGGTTGATTGCGGAGACCAAGTAGCCTAGCGGGACCAAACAGCCGGGACAAGTCGGACAAAAAATGTTAGGCGCGGATCAAGTCACCTCGAATCCTGCAATAATGCACATTCCTAAAGTAAGTAGTTGATCGATATACGTGTCAATGTAACATCGACTCTCAAAGCCACTTAATATTCCGTTTGGTCTCGGACAATACGTGGAGGACAAGCCTAGGTAGTCGCCCAGATGGGGTTACAACGCTGAGAACTTCATAAAAATGTCCGGGGTTAAGGTTTCAGAAGTGAGGCGTGTTACCTACCGCACACATCCTCTTGAGCACTCCGTACCATTGAGGTCTTTTGAGCGAGAGAAAATGAATCGAGATCGTTTTTGGAGAACCACTTGTTGAACATTTGGACGTTATCTTCTATGGCGTCCAAACGCTTATCCTGTTGCAAAGGGGTTACTTCGCGCTCCAAAGCCTTGTAGTGCACCTTCTGGGATGGGTGGATCCACCTAACTTTCAGTGGTGTCGACCCAGATTTGTAGGAATTTCTCCTGCGAACCGATGTTCCGGGTCTCAGATTCTTTTGTGATCTATACCGCGTTACGGTAATCAACAGACATTGTCTCGATGGACTGCCTGCGCTCCGTCTACTCAACTCTCCTTCTCAAACCGAGATGAATATCGCTGCTGTCTCACTATTAATTGCTTTACATCAAGTGTTTCTGGCGCAGCTAACTCAACGGGTAAGTGAAGCCGAGCACTGTCCACCTAACTCTCAGAGGCGCCGGAGGTTGCTGACCACTGCGAAGAGCCTAAGACCAAGATGTACGCAGAAGTAGTGAAGAAAAAGTGTCACCGGCCTCTCCAGTACGAATTGCTGAACGTAAAACCAAGGCAAGAGATAGGCTAAAATCTACGCCGTCATCTCAACCGCAGTTGAAATTGGTTCTCGATACAGTCAGTCAGCTGGAGAAACAGCTTAAGAATGGTGCGCCTGCTCATAAACCACAGATCCATAAAAATGCCAAATCACCATCTTGTGACAGCTGCCTTATCATCGTGAATGCAGCTGACTCAACCAAAGCCATTCCAGTTGAAAGGATTCTGGATGATCAGGCGTTTCTACAACAAATGATCTCGTGACTGTTAGCTTAAGATGAACAAGGAATCAACATTGTTTCGGCTTTCCATCTCGACAAAAAATAGGAGGACTCCTCAAAGATTCGTCCACATAAGGTTGTGTCAAAATGATGATGAAGCTCATCGCATTCTCCGACGAGCTCCGTGTCTTAAAGAGGAAGCAGTTTGAGTTGCCAGACATTTCTTTAGAGGATCGAGTAAAAGTGAAAAAAGCGGAGAATAAACTTACAGCCCGCAGAGATAACGGTGAGACAGAATGACATATTGTGGATTTTCGAGCAGTCGGAAAAACCCCAAGAATTTGCTAAAGACCACTTCTTGTTACATCAAGACGTTAGAAGTGAAGAATGGACAGCGCATAATTTCTACTAACATGTGCAGTCTTAGAAACAAAAGCGATGAAATTTAACATTTTTCCTGAGTGAATCGTCTAGATCTAATGGCTTTCACTGAGACCTGGTTGTCCTCGGATATCCTGAACTCGGATGTGCAGATCCCAGGACATCACCTCAGCCGGACTGACTGGTAAAGAAGGGGAACAACGGTAAAACATTAATGCCACAAACAAACATGGGGTAAAGGTGCCTACACATTGTCAACAACATATCATCACGAACAGCTGGCTATCGTGTAAAAATAAGGCGGCATCCGCGAGACAGCTTCCTTGAAGCCCCGTGTCATAATTAGCCATTATCCCGAATAAAACGCACTAACACTCGAAATGGGCAATCCGACTAGAAGACGACAACAGATCCGCCACTGGTGTGGACTGCGAGCCATCCCCAGTAACCTCTCAAGCCAAACAAAGGGCAGGTCACGTGGACTCGAGCCCGGAAGGCGAGACGACCAATGATACCCAGTTTGGTCGTCAGTGACTTCATTTCCCGCTGCCAGGTTAATTTTTCGCGCCCTGGGCCTTGCGCCAACCTATATCTGGAAAACAAAACAAGATCCTCTTAGGTAAGCGGTGATAAAGCGTGTGTAGAACATGCCTAAGCAAATGCCACATATTCAGAACTATCTGTTGTTCTAAGGTACCAGCTTGGTTATCATTGGCTAGTACTCGAAAACGCACATCATCGCTGCGAACACGCTGGTGCCATCCGACACCAGCAATGCTTCGCAGACAACGATGATCTAAGACTAGAAGGCGCCACAGGTCCCCAGATCAAAGGGGCCAAGTCTCGCACACTTGAAGTCGAAGAACACAGCTATTGTCGGCCTGCGGTATGTGTGGTGCTGCTCTAGCACCTGTCGCAAAGTGAATATATGGTCTGTACAGTTATTTCCTGGGCGAAAATTTGTCTGCTGTTCCCTAATCCGGAATTCGCGATCCGGAGTGAGGCGATGAACGAGAACAGAGAACAACTGGCGTTAGACTAATACCCCTGTGATTAGCACAGTCGGTGCTACGGCCTTCCTTGTATATCGCCACTATACTTGATTCACTAAAATTAGCCGGGATAGTCTCCGCCTCCCAGACCTGTTCGAACAGGGAGGTCAGTGCTTTGCAGAGGACCTCACCTCCATCCTTTAAAAGTGCGGGTGGAAGCGACTCCGGGCAAACAGCGCGAAAACGATTGAAAGCTGTGTTCACGTTTCGGATCGTAGCCTCCGATGGAGCCCCTAAACTAAGCATCCATGGCTCGTTCTGAATCACCTGAGTAAAATGAGGTCCGGGAGCAGGGAGCCAGCTGAACTGATCTTGAAAGTGTTCCGCCCAAAGAGCCATACAGCGCTGCTTATTGTGTATCAGCGCTCTCGCGCTGTCTCTGATTGTCTCACTGACGTCTGGTTTTATGGGACCAGGGGTGCGGATCAGCTGGATGATCTTGCGGTGATTGCCTACTGCTACTGCCTCCTCCATTTCTTGAGCCCGACTGGTCCACCAGGCTTTCTTGTCAGCACGTAGGCTCCGCTTTAGTTCACGCCTAATAGCCCGTCTGGTCACATTGTGTTCAGAGCCAGCCGGGAGGTGTCTTCTAGATTCCAACACGTTCACCGACCTCTCGGATATCCAGTGACTGGTGCGGTGACGATGGATAGTGCCACAAGCATTTGCTCACGCGTCGTGCATGGCGGCCGAGATCCTATTCCACTGAAGCTCAGTGTCATTAGGACAAGACAGCAAAAGTTCGGTACGCAGTGCGTCTTGACAGGTTTGCTTGACCGAGGGCTGAGACAATTTCTCCGTTGCCAATTGGAGGAGACGCTTGGTGCGCCTCCCGGTAAAGTTCATGGAGAAACGACAGTGTACCGAGGCATGATCAGAGTCGACGCAGTTATTCCAGACCGAGCGGCAATTCAGGATGGAACCACACCTATGTGGTCAATTTGGGTCCATCGCTGGCCAGCTGCAGGAGGAAGACAAGTGGCACTCCGGCGCCCACTGTGTCTAAAAGTGCTACTAGTAAGAAACAACTGGTGCTCCGCACACAGTTGCAACAGAGGCTCGCCGCTGACAGTCCGTCCGGGGTTAAGCCTATAATTACCACCCAGCTGAGCGTCTGAAGAGTACAGATGTCCCACTTGTGCGTTCACAACCTATGCAAGTAATATGATATTTGGACTAGTAGCCTGCATAGTAGCGCGTTCACTTCGTGATACAATGTGTCCTTGGCAGCATCAGAACTGAAGTCAGTGGGGGCATAAGCGGAAACCACAAACTAACAGCGTTTTGTACTAGTCAGTGAATCAATTTTAGTTGATGTCATTAAACGGGCTGCACACAAACGGCTGTTCACCAGAATTCAAGCAACCAACGATAGCTCGGCTTTCGAGATGAGTACGATAACTACCCTAGCTTGACCCATGAGTGCTGCAGGGATTTGAGTTACGCCAGGACCTTCTTTAAAATGAGCTGAATTGTCGTCAGGAGGCGCTGAGGGTGAAACCGAAGAAGGTACCATCGTTGTATGCACTGACGGAACGGAGAAAGTACACGCGCACGGTTTGCACAGGAATTCTGCGGCCTCGTTCGCTGACTTTGGGAGCCCTGTGGAGATCGTCAGCGCGGTGACACCGTGCTTGAATTGTCGCAGACTGTTGACGTGATTATACAAGGCTTTGGGATTGGATGAAAATTTGCGCATAACTAACGCTGATGCTCACGCTTATCCTCGCGCACAAGTTGGACGGATGTGCCTGTAAGATTCCAACCGAGTAGCCGTTGGATAGGAGCGATAGTTTCTCCATGCCGTGTTCCTGGACGCAATACACTTCCGTGTACGACTTTGGATGAGTGCTGAGTGTTTCTACTCTAGGGAACCTCGTTTAAAAGGTTGTAATGGTGAAGCAGTTCACGTAGTGTAAGGCAAAAGTGCGACCACATGTCGTTGACGCTCGATTAGGGCTCGGATGACCAGTTGTTAGCGGAAATGAGTATGTTTAATTTTCCGTAATCAGTTCAGCGTTCGGTATAATTTGGCGTGCTGACGGGTTTTTCGGCGAAGCATATAAAATCGAAACGGAGGACGCAGTGTTCGCTGAGCCCCATAGGGACGCCATGCTCGACGTGCTCAAACATCAGTTCTTCGTTAGTGAAGATGAGATCTAGCAGGGATATTTGATTGTTGGATCGGAATCTGGTCGGCTGATAGGTGTGGTTGTACAACGGGGCCGTGTGAAGAAGATCAATGTGGCCTGATTCAAAGGAGTCAGT